GTACAGGGGCACGATCACCTCCCTGGTCCTGCTGGCCCCACTATTTCTGATACAAGCCAGGATGCCATTGGCCCTCTTGGCCACCTGAGCACACTGCTGGCTCATGTTCAGGTGGCTGTCAACCAGCACCCCCAGGTCCTTTTCTGCCAGGCAGCTCTCCAGCCACTCCTCCCCCAGCCTGTAGCGTTGCATGGGATTGTTGTGACCCAAGTGCAGGATTCAGCACTTAGCCTTGTTGAATCTCATGCAGTTGGCCTCGGCCCAATGATCCAGCCTATTTGTTAGTTGATACCTTTGAGGGCAGGGCTGCCATCCAGAGGGACCTAAGCAGACTGGAGGCATGGACCAACAGGAACTTTATGGAATTCTGCAAGGACAAATGCCTAATGCTGCACTTGGGAAGGAATAGCCCCTCGCACTGATACAGGCTGGGGAGAGACAGGCTGCGTAGCAGCCCTGCTGAAAGGGATCTGGAGATCTTGTCAGATAGCAAGCTGAACACGAGTCAACAGTGTGCCGTGGCAGCAATGAAGGCCGACAGCGTCCTGTATTATATTAACAGGAGCATAATCAGTAGATGAAGGGAAGTGATCAGCTTTCATTAGACCCAAACTGCAATACTGCATTCAGTTTTGGGCTTTACAGTACAAGAAAGATACTATAAACCGTAGCAGGTTCAGTGTGGGGCTACCAGGATGGTCAGGGGTCTGGAACGCATGCCTGGTGAAGAGAGACTGAGGGATCTGGGCTTGTTCAACCAGGAGAAGAGAGAGCTTCAGTGGGATGTAATAGCCTTCTAATACCTGTGCATTATAAAGACAATGGAGCCAGGCTCTTTACAGTCATGAGAGGGCGAGAGACAACCAGCTTTACCTGAGACAAAAGAGGTTCAGACTGAATACAGGAAATAATATTTTTCACACAGATGTTGTGCAGCCCCCATCTTTGGCGGATGAACTAACTGGATTAAGCACTGAGCAACACGATGTGGTCTTACAGCTGACCATGGTTTGCATGGGAGGTTGTCATGAGGCAGTCATGGACAATTTATTATGCAAGTATTTCCCAGTTGACAGAAAGACAATAGGTATTTATGTTGGGGAGATACTTTCGATCCCAGGATTTCATCATTTCATCATTTGTTTAATTTTGATACATTTAATGTTTTCAGACATGAATGACTGTGACCAGTGTAAGTTGTCAGGGACACTTCAGTTCATGTTGAGTTACATTTCAGCGATATTAAGATTTGAATATTCTGTTGTTTAGCCACATGTTTGGTTTTTGGTCACTTACCATTTGTGAACTTCAAAGTGTATCCAAATTTCAGAAACATGCTTTTTTGTCTATTTAGCCTCTACGCCGCCCTGACTCCTCTGATGACCGCTATGTGATGACCAAACATGCTGCTATATATCCAACAGAGGAGGAACTTCAAGCAGTCCAAAAAATTGTTTCTATTACTGAGCGGGCTTTGAAACTTGTTTCTGACAACATGACTGATCATGAAAAAAGCAAGAACAAAGAGGGAGATGACAAAAAAGATGGCAGTAAAGACAGGTATTATTTTTAATTACTTTTTAAGAATTTCATCATTTGTTTCTGAAGTTTTTTCTTGCACTGTTGTCAGTGCTTCCAGGGATTCTCTTGTCTTTGGGCTTTGATATGGTATATGTCACTATGACCTCAAAAGTATGTGGAATACTCCTATTTTATTTCACGTTTCTATCTTCAGGATTTGTTTTAAGGTTTTTGTATTATTTTAAATGCAACTTTTAACTATAATTCACAGAGCTTTGAAAGGAGTTTTACGTGTAGGCGTTTTGGCTAAAGGTTTGCTACTCCGTGGAGACCGAAACGTCAATCTTGTTTTGTTATGTGCTGAGAAGCCTTCAAAGACGTTACTCAGTCGTATTGCTGAAAGTCTTCCCAAGCAACTTGCAGTAAGTAGAATCTAGATTTTTGGATTTGAATTTTTGTAGAGATACTGTAAAAATCTCTCATCCAGTCAAATGTCTGCAGGGCTCACTGTGCCAAATTTCATAGCTCAGGTTCACTTTCTTTCCATTTTCAGAGTGTTTCCATCTGAATTCAGGGACTATGCAGCATGTTTTGCTTTCCATGTATTGTGTCTGTGCAAGTGTCTAGGTGTTTACGCTAGTGGTGTAGTATCAAATCATCATTTAACAGATTTCATTTAATTGGGAAATAGAAATGAAGACAGAATGTTACCCAGTTACCAGCAGCAATAGAGCTAATTTGTGCAGTGTTACAGGGAGCTTGCTGCCTGGAGGTGAAAGTTCTCCATTAATGCCAGTCTGTTTGTACTTACATCTTGTTTCTGATTTGTATGTGTCGGTGCTTTGTAGTTCCACAATTAGTTAACTAAGTCTTGTGTGATTTTTTTTTTTAAAAACAGTCTTAGACCATTCAGCAGAATTCATATAAACCATTTGCTGTATTTCCACAAGAAATGAAAGTGTAGAATAAAGTCTCTGCTCTCTGCTGAGCAAAGCCCGTCCACCATGGTTATAGAGTGTTTGTCACAGCATTAGTATTTCAATACTGTCTGGTAAAGTGCTCAGCAGAATCAGTGGCATGGTTGAAGCTTTAGCAGGATCAGATTAATGAGAAAATAATCTTGAGTTTGCTCTTGTTTGAAGTAACAGAACAGAAGAAAACTTAAAAACTGCACATCTTGGTCTGGCTTTGTGGAGAAGTCAGTTTTCCCTCTAGTTTGTGGAAGAAGGTGACAGAGGTGCCTACAGCTTCCTTTTGGGGGTATTTAGAGTTATTAAATCTAGTTGCAAGAAGCAATTCGGAATAACCACCTTTTTAGTTACTCTGACATTTTTTCCCTGGTGTTTTTCTTGCCTGTTGTTCTTACCATGTTGTGACACACAAGTATGGAATGTACCTAGCAGTACCCATCCTGTAACCGTGAGCTTGAAGAACAACTGCTGCATCTTTGTGCTTTTTACAGGCTCATATGTTCCAATGAGAAATATATCCAGCTGACATTTTAAGTGGCACTTATCTCAGACACTGTCAAGATTCTTGTTATGTAATTTACTTGTATATGAATTTCCTTTCTGGGTATTTTTTTCTCTTTTGCATTCTTGGTGACTGCTGTGTATTTTCATTAATGATTTGGAAACAGTATGCAAGTCCATATATTTATCTTTATTGTGTATACTGTGGTTTCTTCAGGAGACACTGAGGTATCTGCTTCATATAATTATATTTCATTTCTGTCTTTCTGTTAAAAAGACTATGTTGAAATCCGTTTTCTTCCCCTTACTTTTATTGGCCACATGCTAATGGAAATTTCTGTTTCTCAATATTTAGGTAATAAGTCCTGAGAAATACGATATCAAGTGTGCAATCCCAGAAGCAGCAATAATTTTAAATTCATGTGTGGAACCCAAAATGCAAGTTACTATCACCCTGACATCTCCAGTCATTCGGGAGGAGAACATGAGGGATGGAGGTTGGGAAGTTGTTAAAGATGTTACTTCTTTCTCACCTGTTTTTTTATGTTTATCTGTTCTGCTTAAGATGGCATTAAGGTCCTGGAAGGCAACATGCTGGCACACGTATTTGATCGAAACCTTGTTTTTCAACAACCAGTCTCGGTAGAGAACAGTTGGTTAAAATAAATGCTTATATTTATGTTTATTTAATTTTTAAAATTTCTAACTTTGTATCCAACCTCAGCTTTCTGGAAAAGGTACAAACTTGACTATTTTTTCCCCTCTTTTAAAATTATGTGGAAAACTAAGGATTTGATAACAAGTGGCTATAAACTGGCTTTCTAGAGCAGTCTTGCCCTACGAGAAAGATTGTATGGCTTTAGAAAATCAAATCACAGGTTTTTGGTTTCCAACTGGATCAGATTACCATCA